ATCAAAACAGAGTGAACCACTAATCTCTCTCCTTAGGAGCCTGTGTAGTTAAAAACTATTTATACTTAATTATTAGTAACTTCTTCAAAGCCAGCTGAACATCCACATAGTCAGGAAGTCTCCTGTCATCATGAAATAATACCATTTTACATGTGAGTGAGATACTATAATTTTGGAAGCATTTTTACATCTCATTAGATACCTACCTGGTCAGTAATTAATTTTTTTATCCTTACATGAATTTCTGTAGCAGTTTTAATTTGGGTAATTCAGCATGTCAGTAAAATTTATAAAGTCATTTTGCTGATTGTTGTTTTTAAGCTTTATCTCTCAAGACTGTAAACTTCTTGAGGGCAAAAATCAAAATTTACTCCTTTTTTTAGTTTATGTTTTACACCTGCACATAATAGATAACTAATAAATAATGCTGATTTGAATCATGGTAATATTAATGAGGTAGTTTATCAATTTTGTGTGACATTTTTTTGAAAGAAAATGGGTTTTTTTGTGTGTATTGTATTGTGAAAAAATGTATGAGGAAAGCAAACCCATTGAAATCAATAAAACGCATTCATTTAGTAAATATTTATTGAGTTTCTACTATGTACATATAAACTTTTTATAGTACAAATTAAAAAATATATGTTTCTTGATGTATATATTAACTTTTCATTCTCAGTTTAGAGTTTTTTTTAAAGGGATAATTTGCTCCCCAAGTAAAGGAAGGCGTTAAGTACAAATTTCCATGATAGATTAAGGTAACAATTAGCTTATATTAACACATAGATGAACGGTTCTAATTTTTTTTAATAATTTGATTTTAAAAGTAGTTTCCAAAGTCAATTTATAAAATTCTTTATTTAACACGTTTTACACACACACACACACACACACACACACACACACACGGTACAAAATTTCTTAGTTACCTATTTCCCCTACCCAGCGGCAACTACTGTTACCAGTATATTGTATACTCCTTCAGAAATAGTTCATACATAAGAATAGATATCCAATATTGTATGTGCCTGTATATGTGTCTGTGTGCACACACATGTATGAATGTATGGATGTAAACATAAAAACACAAATGTGCCCTGCAGTTTGCTTTTTAGAAGATCAGTTCCATATCTGTTAATATATAGCTGCTTCATTCACTTAATGGCTGTATCCTATCCCATCTGATGAATGTTCCGTAATTTCTTTAACTAGTATCATATTTATGGATATTTAAGTTGTTTCTAAGTATTTTGTCATTAGAAACAATACTGTGATAAATATCTTTGTACAAATATCATTTCCCATATGTATGAATAGATCTTGGACAAATTCCTGGAAACAAAATTGTTGGGTCAAAGGGCTGGTATATTTTACATTTTAACAAATATTGCCAAATTTATCTTTGTAGGGAAAGTATGTATAAGGGCATGTATTAAGAGGAGATTTTTCAACATCCTTGCCAACTAAGTGTGTGGTAATCTTTGCCAATTTTTCAGTGAAAAATATGCTACTGTAGACTTAATTTGCAATTTTCTTATTGGTGAGATTGAGAGCTTTTTACATTTGTTTAGACCCATTTGTATTTCCTTTTCGGTTAGTAATTTTTAGTGGTTTGTAGAAGCTCTTTATATGTTATTTGTTTTAGGACCTTGCTTATGCCTTTTTTACTGGTCAGGATTTTGAAAAAGTGTATTTAC